CGGAGGGCTCGCAGCTTCCTGTCAACATTTGCGCAGGGGCGGGGGGAGGTGATTTTCACGAAACCGGATTCAGCAAGTTTGAGGGCAGCCCTGGTTCTGTTGCCTTCTTGTTCTCGCCGGCGTTGCGCCCCTTTGCTGCCAACTCCTACTACGCAGTATCAAGGTTTGTAGCTTCAACTTCCTGCACGCACGAATCTCACAGGAGAGGCAAACAGAGCTTCGAGCTCCTCCAGTCGCAGCTTCTGCTGCAGCTGCTGGCATCCGCCAACCATATGCCGGCCCAGGAGCCGCGGATCATTGGGATCAGCACAAATATGCGACGCCATGGGGCGACACAGAAAAAACCTGTGTGTTAATGCTACTTGGTCATCGCATTCCCAAATCATCGGAAGATGCTTTTGTGGACAAGCCTTGTATATACCAGAGAATCGTCAGCGAAGGCCATTGTCTAGTCCTTCTCTCTCGCATCCTGACTTGGACTATCAGAGTCACTCGCCGGTACTGTTGTATAGCTGCCGGCCTCACAAGATCAGAACTTCACCTGCTTCGTAGGAGGCTTTCGAGCCAAGACAGTGCTTTGAGCTGCCCCAGCGGCACGATCCCAGCCGAGAGCTGAAATCTTAGAGTGTAGACATCGGTCAGGATGCTTGGATGTTGATAATGGAAGAAGATGGAGCTACGAGGTTCAAACCGGAAACTGCCTGGATGGTCCCTCGCATCATCCGCGACATGAAGGGCCCAGGGCAAATGCAGTTGGACGTGATGTGTCGTGGACCCAAAGCTCCCGCAAGGTGCTTGGAGAGCATGACCACCTCAAAGACAAAGAGTGCAGATCGCCGATTTCGGATTTCGCAGTCCCTGAGGGAGCGGCAGCAGCTTTGCTGGAGCTGTACGCAAAAGTGTCGATCAGCGGAGTCTGCAGGCCGTTCACGGAAGAGATGTGGACTATTCCTGGAGAAAGCAGAAAGCAGAGATGAGCGCAACTCGGAGCTTGTGAAACGATTATTATAGTGTTCTATCCAGAAGCTGAACAAACTTCAAAGCCGCCGAAGCGGCTGCCAGGATCATCCCTTGAAGTTGAGGACTCCATCAAGGGCACAGCCAACCTTGGCAGCTGTTTGTCAGCTTGTGAAGCAGGACCATGCGCCAATTAGTCTGCGAAACTCAGTCCGCGCGAACTACCGCCGACCGTCCACATCCAAGCTTCTCTCAAACATGCTTCAAAGAGACTGTGTCAAAGCAAACACGGCATTGGTGTTCAACTGCATAACCTTTTCGAACATCTCTGGGCTGTACTTTCCTCAACTCGAGCAGTCTGCGTTGTCGAGGAAGTGTCTCCACCCAAAGCACGGGCAATCGCCAAGTTTCCCAGGGGTGCATTGAAGTTTGTCCCGCTGTTGTTGACCAAGATCTCAGCCGCTTTGTGACGAGCTAGGAGCTGGTGTCATCCGGCAGTCACCCCTCTAGCACCGAGGGACTGACGTGCAGCTTCCCCTCAGCTTTTTGAATGGAATCGATCAAGATCTTTTGTTGATCGTATTTGCCTGAGCTCACATGGTGCAGTTACAGTCTGCCTGCAGCATGCAATGACGTTGATGGTCACGAGTACTAGCGAACACATGCTCTGCCTATCCAGTGGAGCAAAGAGACTGATATCGCAGGTGAGAGCTGTGCAGCAACCTGGTCCTGCTCAGCCGGCGGTTCCGAACGACACGATCCCGTCTGGCAAATCGGGACCCATGACACTCTGTTGCAGTGTATGTTCAGCATATCGTTTTAAGCGTGCAAGGTTGTCGTGCGCAGAGCTTCGAAACTCGGCAAGGTCCTTTGGAAGTCAGTTCGGCAGCATACTTTGAAGTATCCTGTCATATCAATTGAAGTGCTGCACACCTTCTGCTTCCTCTGGTCGCGACAAGACAATCAGGGCTGACTAGCAGCAGTGGCCCTGTCCGTCCTTCCGGGAGGCAATGTACACGCGGCAGCCATTCCTTGCGAGCCATTCTGCTCGCTAGTTCTAGTTGCTGGCTTCTCGGAAAAAGCAAGTTGGAAAGCGGGAGGCCGCATGGCTCAAGATTCTGTGACCGAGGGTCAACGGTGGGGCGCATCGCATGGTGGTGCATGGAAGCCGAGCGGCTGCACGAATCCAGAGGCAATCATGGCACCGATGCCAGATCCGCCACCTCGCATTAGGAGAACATGGCAAACTCGCAAGCATGACGCCGAACCGAGCAAGATAAATGCATTGTCAAAGGAAAATATGAGAGCACTAATTGAACACATTGTCCCCGAAGTATTTTTCAAACGTCATATCCCCCCGTCCTGTAACCAGAACCACTTTGTTGTCCACTCGGAAGAGCGACTGAAGCGTCAGGTCCGCATCGGTCGCTGCCGCATTCTCTCCCTCGACTTCCTGGAACCGTTGAGTGATTAGGTTTGCTGTGACTGGTGCGTTGGAGGATTTCAAGCTCAAATTCATAGCGGCAGCAACCCAATGTGAGTTTGTAACTTAAAGAAGCTGCTGGCATACGTTCAGAAACAACATGAACTTGTGTTGAGATCATGCTGCACACATGCTCCGCACAAAAACACGTTTCAGAGTTAATGTGGATTTCGGTTGTCAGTTGGATGTGAACAAGACTTTCCGTGAAATTCGGTAGGTTCGGCGGGGCCTTCTAGTTTCCCGGAGGTAAGCCTTCAGCCGTCCGGACCCCTTTCAGAAATGGAGACGAACCCATGCAATGCACCTCACCGTCCTCCTCCCGTGTGCGGCCCCCCCCCCCCCTCACGTTCCTTTACAACCTCTTCCTCCCTCACTCAGTGGTATCGCATTTTCAATGTTCGCCGTTGGGTCAACAACACGCTAATTTTGTGGAGCCCATGTCCCCCAAGCCTGTCCTTGGGCATTCCCTGTTCCGCAAGATGGGAGGCCAGGATGGCCTGAGGTTTTCGGGCTCGAGCCAAAGGCTGAAGCGATGGAAACGTAGAAGCTTCAGAAGTCATGAGCTCCAAATGCCGAGAACTCTGGATCACCTTTTTCTGCGTCTTTTCTGGGTTGCCTTCACTTGCAAACTGCTACAGCCACTCCCAAACAGGATGCTTCACTTAGCTACTTGTGCTGGGCTGTGTCAGTCTGCAAGTAGCTGCTCCTGCTCCACACTACCCCTGGAGCCCCTGTCACTGCAAAAGCTACCACAAACAGTGACTGGAACATCTGGAACCTCATGCGCCATGCTTGCATGCTTGCGCCGTGCTCGGCATCACTCCAAGCCTGTGGGATGTCTTGATGTTGTGCTATACATCCATCGGCACTTTGCAGCAACATGTGTGCAGTGACTTACCCGGCTGTCTGTACACTGGTGACTCGTTCACCACTTGGCTGCTTCTCATCCGCCTCACCAATGTTAGTAAGACTGGAAACAGAATACGTCCGACTTGATGGTGTCAAACAGCCCTTGGCCCCTCCACTCGCCCGCCTAGTGCAAGGCCTGGCCAGCCACCAGGTCACTCAACACGAAAGGCTCCACCTGGGACAGCGAAGGACGGCGGCATAGTTCTGGCAAGCAAAAGCAGGCGGTAACTTTAATCGCGCTCCACAAGAGTTCAACAAGCTGGTCCTCGTGGTGTGCGGAACTGAGGGCTATGCAGAGTCGCCTTGCGTCCTGCGCGACTTCCAGAGGGACAGCAGGCTCTCTTTTGGCTGTGCACGCCCATATCCGGAAGCAAGCGCTCTAGTGCACTGACAAGCCCCGACACGATTAAAGATGCAACTGAAAACAAAGCTCCTCGCCGGCACAGCTTCATGCCGAAACAAGCGGGAGGCATCCTCGCACGAACTTTGAATGTTCCCGTAGGGCCGCGACGAAAAACCGACACCACTTCTTTGATCCATTGAGCTGTTGCCTGTCCTGCTCACCTTGTTGCCGGAAGCTGCATGGCTGTGTGGGTGCGACCGTCTTCAAGCTGAAAAACACGTAGATGTATACACACATACATATACCTACATACACACATACATACATACATACATACATACATGCATACATACATGCATATACACACCTCATGTGGCCAGGCATCGGGCGTTCCCCTCCCGCCCCCGCACTCCGTGGCATGGTCAACTAGATGGGATGCTTGAAAAGTGGTAGCAGTCAGTGGGATGCGGTGGCTTGTAGCGGAATCCGCGAGATAGTTGATATTTTAGGACCTGGACCGTGCGTGTGCACGAGAACCCCAAAGACTGAAACTATGGACATGATGACGACGATGATGATGATGGCGACGTCCTTCTGACTGTCGGGCGTTGTATTGATATTGGCTCGTTTCCCTTACGTCCATTCACGTTTACATTGAGAGAGTCAACTGGTAGATTCGGATAATGTTCGGAAATCAGGGAAGCAAACCCACTCACACCCCGTGCCACAAAGGGAAAGGGACTTCCCTCAACCCAAACCCAAACGCAACCCACCCATCCCATCCGCAGGAAGGAGGGGGAATGGGGGAGACCCTGAGCACATGACCACCTTTACATAGAGACCCTGGCCTGTGGAACTCGGACGGGCAAAGATGCCGCGTCTGCGCGACCTGAGCCAGAGTAGAAGCTGTCTTGATCTACTTCGCGTCAACGAAATTCCAGAATGTAAGGCAAAAACTCGAGCTGCCAATAGACAAGCCATTTGCTCCTTGTAACCTTCTGGGAGAAGATGAACTATTGAATCTGTTGTTTAAGGGGGTCCCCAAACTTGGGGTGGGAAGAGTTGAACTCACCTTTGTTGAGGACACCATCTCATCGTGCACGGCAGGCTCTGCGGTCTTCTCCAGGCTTGGCTCAAGTGGGACTTGGGGGACGAAATAGATAGCTCTCAGCTTTGGAACAAGCTCTCAGAAGGCTTCATCCTCAAGTATCTAGCATGCTGCCGCGTCCCGGCGTGATGTGGTGAAGCATTGTCTTGAACGACGTTTCTCGAATGGCGTGTGATGTATCCACTTCTGCAGCTAGATCTTGTTTGCTGCCAACCTGGTTGTAAGGCTATCAGCCATCAAGCTCCTACCTGCACGAAGCTTTAGGCGGACAGTAGGGTTTAGGGTTTAGAGTTTCGGGGTTCAGTTTCAGGTTCGTGGTTGACGTGGCATGTTCGATGACGGACAAAATGAAGCCAAGTTCAGCAGGCTCTCCTTACGTATGAAAGCTGTTCGACCTTGCCAGACTTGGAGAACTTTGGTTCGGTGCTCCGGTCGCGGGTCCGGACTCGACCGGGTTGAGGTGGGGGGCCTCGACATGTCCGAAAAGCCATACCATGTCGGTTGAGCACCTCCCTGCTGAGCACGGTCAGTTTGGGGCCCCCAGAGATCTCGGTATGAGGGTTCAGGCCTCCCACAGATTTACTCATATTTCCTGCCCGCGTCCACGGCATGTAACTCACATCGCTTCAGTGTCCTGAGGAAGTAACGCGCATCCCGGACGAATCTAACGTATTCGTCGTCCAGACTCCTGGGGTTGTTTGTGCTCACCAATCGGGATTCAGACGGCATCTAGCGGCTTGGAAGTTCAGATTCAAGTTCAGGCTCAGGGTGAACGATGTTGCTTTTGTACTGCTTGGGTGTGAGGACTCTTGAACGAGGATCTGAAGAGTCACTAGAGTCACTAGAGCCCTTGCTCATGTGCGGCTCATCCAGGCAACAATGTTCGGGACTAATTGAGCTGCGATGTAAGCGGATAAGAAGCTGTGCTGCCCAGTTTTGGTGTTTGGTGCCAGATAGGGGCCGTCCCGAAATAGACATCAACACTTTATCGAGTTCTGCTCTCCTGGTCTTGGCTGCCCTCCGCTGCCGCGCTGCTCGCCGCAGCGCTGCCCCAATCTCGGCCTCCGGACATTTTGGAAAAGCATTCTTGCGAGCACGAGAAAAACCTGGTTTTCGATTCGTCGTCCAACCAAACAAGTCAAGCACCTGCTGTGCGAAGGGCAGAACCCACAGCGCACGGTTGCAGTTGGACGTGGACAGGCCACGCCGAAGGCAATTGAGAACAAACGGTAGATGTTCTAATGATGCCCTGCAATTCATGGCTTCGATAAGGCGCTCCACTATGAGGGGCCCCTGTAAGCTATTCCAAACCCCATGAATCAGATTACCTTCGAACGTTCCCGGCACAGGAATGCACACAGCACAACACACACTGCCAAGCTCAATCTGGGGTGGGCACGCCGGTTTCCTCGCTCTTTGTGGAGTCCAACTCCCTGGTTTGCCAAGCAAGTTGGCCAAGGACGCAGCCAGAACGTGGCTTCTGCGGGCAGTATGCGCTTGTCGTTTTGGATTCGTCCTAGATCCAAGCCACCTGAGGGCCGCGCAAACTTGGGGCACTTGGCAGCCGAGTCAGCCTACCTGGCACGGACGAGCCCATCGTACAGTCGCCCACTCGCTTCGGAACATCCGCGCCTCGACCAGCATTGCTGCGCTTGAGTGTCGAGGTGCTGCTTATCGACCCGTCTCCATCCTCCTCAAGGTAAGTAACTTCAAGATCTCGGCGCACTAGCTTGCTTGAGGGCTTTAAGTCTTAAGCGTCTCACATTGGCAACCCGCAAACACTCCACATCCCCCCCTGCTCCTGCTCGGTGTAACTCGTGCTAACGACTCTGTAAGAGTCCGAATTCATCGCGATGGTGCTGTCAATCGGCATTTCCTTTGGCTGCCTTGGCTTCGAAGCGAATCGACAGAACCCAAAGCTTACTTCAGGTTGGCTGGCAGATCGTCGTCATGTCGCCGATAGAAGGTGAGCGAGTCCTTCCTATATGCAACTAGAGCGACATATTTAGCAGCTGCCGTTGATGCATTTCTTGCTGTCGCTTTAGCTGCTCCTCCTTCTCCTGTGCCAAAGTCTCTGGTCAGGTCTAACTGAGTCATTTCGTCGCGTATACAGCAGGAGAGGGTATCGGCTCCAGGCCTTCTGCTGCCCTTGAAGTTGCCATACATCCTTGTCTGCACATTGTCCTCAGTCACCGGCAGTCCGGACAGGAAAACAGCCCTCACATCTACATATGCTGGGGCCCAGAAAGCACGCAAGCCGGCGTCATAAGTGATCTCGACTTGCCCTTCATGATCCGCTGGACGTGAAGCCAAGACTCTCTGGCGGCTCCACAACTGCCTCTGCAAAAAGACATTTTAACAGGGGGAATGCCTTGCACCAAAGAAGCACTACTGACTACTGTACTTTCATGTCGCCTTGTTTCAGTCCTTGTAAGGAACTCGGATGCCCCAAAATCACACAAACTATCCGAATCCAGCTGTTTTTGTGAAACCTGGAACCTCGACTCTCGGCGCTATGGGCAAAGCCCCGCATTCTCATTGCACTTACATGCTTGCATCTGTGATGATATCTACACGCACACACTGGCACACACGCTAAGGACTTACGTGCCATCAGGTGGCTGCCGCCAACGCTCCTCCTGCTCTCGGTGCTGCCACCTGAACATGAGAACATGCGGCAAGTAGCCAAACTAGACAGCAAACAACTCGAGCACATCAGGCTGCGAAACCTCTCTCAGGCCAGCACAGCGAGTCTCGCTCTATCACTGCACCCTGAGACGTGCTGTTGCAATTGCAAGATCGCAAGACAAATGCTGCAACCCCCACTGACTCGTTGCCCTTCGATGATTAGCGCGCTGCCAAGGATGCTGTGGCACGATTTGCATGTCTCAACTGCCAATCCGATTGCAAGAGTGATCCATTCAAGAAGTTTCTGTGAGACATTCTCTTCGGGGCAGATCCGCGGCATGTAACATCGGTGTTGCTTGTCAATTCTGTGTCACCACCGGAACCACGGCGATAAAGTGGACAAAGTAATCTTGAGTCTTCGATTGTTCTGCCATCCTCCCCGAAACTTTTTTCGGACCCCATGTCGTGAAGCCGGCTGCACATCCGAAATCCCTAGGCCAGTCCTGTTGAGGAAGGCTCGTCGGGGGAGCCGGTAGAGTGACCTTGCAGCGGTTACTGTTTTCATGTTGAAAGTTTATCGCGCATTTCAACTTCGATATTGATATCGCGGGCATTCTTGCCCCTTATCGCCACTGGTATTCAAGTGATCATTTGGATCCCTGCAGAAGCCGTCGGGTCCCAAAGCCCCAGGCAAACGTCAGATGCGGCAGGAACTCTCTCCATGCTAGCTGATAGCAATGGCTATACTTGACCTAGAACCACAATCAACAACAACCAAACCTTAATGCATGTTTTGTTGCTCTGCTGTTTGGTTGCATAGCGCTACCCCGAGCAGTTGCCTTCGAGTCAACGTCGGCAAAAGGATGTCAATAGCAACAGCAGAGCAAAGAAGCATACGCGCAAGTCATGGCGAAACCCTCGCTCTCCAAGTTCCCATGCAAGATCCTTTGCCTCGCTCCTTTCCCTGAATCTGGACTTCCATGCGTCACGGGTCCCCCGACGGGCGCCGGTGCAGAGACAGGCGGCCGGCCAGCCTGGTGCTGGTGACGGGCTCCATTTTGCTGGTTTACCCTTCGGGAATCCAATTTGAGTGTGTTTGTCTTCCTGTTGCTCTTGATGGCGCTGCTCGAACCCATAGCTCAATCTTGAGCTGGAGGCCGCAACTTCTCGACAGAGTCAAGGCCATTAGACGGAGTAACATATTGCAAAGTGAGACGGCCTGGAGCGTGCTCTGCAGGTCCTCGAGCAACTCCCGATTACGCCTGCAAGTGAGACGGTCGTAATGGAGTGCGCTTATCTTGGCAAAGCTCCGTCTTCCTCCCAGGCTTGTCCGATGGATTGCGAAATGGTTGCATGTTCACGTCTGCTCGTGCACAACTTGCCGTAAGACTATCTTGTATGTGGCAGTGCTGGCAGCTTGATGATTCGCTTGTCGGGTCAGTTTGTGGCATGTCGACTGCTGCAGGTTGCTTTTGGAATGCTTCGTGACCAAGCGCATGCTTACGCCGTGACGCCTACGATCCCAAGCCCCACCTCTCGGCTGCAGCCAGCCGGGCGCGGACAGAAGAGAGCCTTGAGATGCAGTCCGAGGTATAGAAAAGCTCACTGCCTTGCACATGCGTGTCTGTTACTTGCATTGGCAGGTGGGGTCAGTCGAACGCTCCAGAGCCTCTACACGACCTTCTCTAGCCAATTGCTAGCTGACACAAGCGAAGCAATTGCTGCTGACTTTCCAAAGCTGCGCTGCTGCAGACTTGTAGCGCTTCACGCTGAGCTTTCACCGGGAAACCCGCCAACTTTGGGCAGTGCTCACCAACGTACGTGTTCCGCTCGGAATTCCCAAGGACGCTGCAGAAGCGAGACAGTCAACAGCACAAACTGCCTGCAGGATTCATTTTATAGCCTTTGGCTAACTGATAGGCCCCGTGGGGAAAGTTTCACCTTTCGCTGTTCTTGTCAGCTTGTATGTCGACGCTTCTCTGCAGGAAAATGGCTGCTGCTACTTCTCTTGGCACTTGCCTGCGAGCTTTGCGCAGCCAGTCCAACTTGACTGAGGACAGCTGTCACTGTGCCACCAATCAACACTTCCTCGGCACAGCACGCGATTTTTTTCATTGTCCACTCTGGTCATCACAATTTTACATGTTTAGATCTGGATCAAAGCCCGAGTCACGTAGTATGCCAGCGGAACTCGGCCAGCATGGCTTGTGGAAAAGCTTGCCAAGCAGTGTAGCAGGATGCTTTCCTAGGAGGACACCATCGATCTCCAATGCATAGCCGCATTTCGTTTTTCACAAGCAGCTCTAAGTCTCCCTCCAAGCTGAAGGTTACGCCAACCACGGCCAAAGCCTGCTTCCCTTGTCCCAGGTAAACCTCGGAAATCGAAAGACCATTTTCTGACGGAGACAGATTCGAAAGTAAGGTCCGCGCCAGTGTGCAGCAAGCCAGAGAGAACATGAACCTGGCTCTTTTCCGACTACCACCGTTTGAGACATGTCCGCAGCCCTGTGCACCCTTTGATCCTTCTCTTCCTGCTCCCCTCCTCCAATTCTGATATGTGAACCCAAAGCCCGCCGCACACGATTGTCAGCCGAACCAGCCATGGCATTGCATCCTGAAGGTGCCTGCCATGCGAAGGCGCTCCGACTTCGGGTTTGCAAGCGTCGTGATGTGAAAGCAACTGCATGGCTCGCACTTTGGTCGCCTGTTGGATGCCGCCGCCTGGATACAGGTACTGAATCCGATGAGCAGAACGCCGTGGACAGCTGCAGCCACGGCCACCTGCAGCTCAAACAAAGCAGACAAGGTCCGTGTTCCAAAACAGAGCCCTGCACTAATTCTGTATGGTGAGATTTGACGGGGACCCAGTCAGTCGGACTCGGTGTCAAGCGCGGCCCCAGCGAAGGTTGCCAGGCACGGTGGTTGTGATGCGATCTCAGTGTGGCCGAATACAACCACTGCACTTGCTGATTTTCCGGAGCTACGAGTAGTGACATGGGGATTTAAAGCGGAGTATGGGCTTGTACGACTAGGGTGGGACCTCAAGTTTTGGTCTGCAAGGACATTCCTCGGCCGGCCGGCCCGGTTGGGTGCCCAGCCGCTGCGAAGAGAATCGGCTTTGGATCGCAGTGCACGGGCTTGTGCCTTCAGTGCCTGGTGAACGGCAGAAGGGCAGGATCCAGGATGGAGACGGGGCAAGGGGGTCTCATGGGGTTTCGATAAGAGGCGGTGGTGGTTCAGGATTCATGATGTTGTGCAGAGGGGTGCCGGGGGTTTGAATTTTTGGAGAGATTGCTGATTTTAGGCTGGAGCTGTCGACAAAAGGTTTTTTCACAGAACCGTCGAGCGGTTTTGCATACAAGATCGCCTTGTGGCAGGTCTGCCACATGTGCCCGGTTGAATGATGATCCAGCTCGATTGTGTACAGGACTTCGGTTGGCAGGCGGGTAGGGTCTGTTCGGCGGAGGTCGTGTAACTCGAAGGTGACTCTGAGTCGACTTCCGTGCGGAACAGGATGGCTTTATTTCAAAGCTTGCACAGGCACCTCAACATCCACGCGAGCGTTGTCGGGGCCGTTGCCTCGGAAATTAGCGGCTCTGTTTGAATCCGACATGTCCAGGGAGTCTGGGGCCCTTGATGTACTGCACATCCATGAATCAAGTGCAAATGATCCAAGGGGCGAGAAATAATCTGTGGCTTCTCGCTGCTGCAGTCCTGAGACAAGGGGAAGTACACAGCGAGCCTGGAGATAAGAGACTGGAAGACTTTAGGGAGCTGCGGTCCTGAATGATCACCATGGCGATGGCTGCAAACAGCAAGGCCGATCTCTGTGGCTTGGAGCTGACAGCTTACGAAGGATGCTGCACGTAGTCCAAGCATCGATGTCGAATGATCTCTGACTGCTGATCAGCCAGCCTACCTAGCCAATGGCTGGAGTGGATACGCTGGTCGGCGTGCTCATGCTCCAGTACTGGAGGCTTGGCCATGGCTGGCAATGAATGAACTCCCGTTTACTTCGACTATCTTTGGGTTTTTACGGGGCTTCTGGGCTTGCAATTCTCGTTGTGCGCATTGCTACTACGGCAATGCTCATGACGATGGTTGCAACCAGAAATATGACGATGGTTGTGGTGGTTCACTCGTGTTTGCAATTTCGGCCGTAGCTTCAGTTTTTGTCGAGCTGCATTGCAACTCCTATGTAGTAAGCTTTTCATAATCCCATTGCGGCATTCCGACTTCATAGGCCCTGGCTCTTCCGCGAAGGCAGCCTCTGCTTTCCCCAGCTCCACTCGCAACTCTTTCGCCAGCCTCGGGCAAGAGCTCACGGCATGTTGACGCTTTTATAGGTTCCTGGCAAGACATGCTCGGTGGTCCGAGATTGTGAGCCGACCAAGGACTGCCCCCGGCACATCCTGGCACATGCACCCTTTTTTCACACTTTCTGGTTCTTTCTGGATCGGCGGGTTTGGCGCCTCTCAGCTCTGGCTGAGTGTGGCCATCCAACCAACACGCTTTGCCCCACGGGCTTTTCTTGGCGTTTTCAGCCATTCAAAGAGGCTGACAAGTGTGCACCAAGAGCTCAAGTTCTTGAGGACGGCGCTGTGAGCGGCGTCACCACTGGTGCTTGCAAATCTAAGAAGCTGTACATCCACGTCTCAAACTTGACACGGAAATGCCATCTGTGTCTGAGGCCCTTGTAACTCCGAGACACTAGAGGCATTCAGACTGAATCACGTGTTTGGCTGTACAGTTTACAATCCGGTGATGTGATGCCTGTACGAAGAAAATCATAAACTTCAAACAAACATCTGCTACTTGTATCAGATTGTATCATCCGGAAGCACACTGCTCTGAGTTGCCCATGTCGCCAGAACTTGTGCCGCTAAAACCCTTTTATCCTCCCGTTGAAACTTGTTCACAGCAGATGTAGCACTGCTACGATGCACCGGCGAGTCACACCTGACGAAGCACATCGAGCCCATGCTGAGCCCATGCTGTACCCATGCGCATGGTGACGGTGCCCGGGAACTGTGCTCGCCGAGAGACATCATGCAGCAATGAGGCAGGCCGCAGAAAAGCGTGCCAAAGTGGGGCTGGCCTGCCTGTGCAAGCAAGTGACAAAAAATCTTGCCGGGAAATTTCGTCGCTTGAAATCCCAAGATGTGGATAAGCACCCGAACTGTGCTGTTTTGAAGTCTTGAATTTCAGCAGGCCCCCTGTTGCTGCCTTGTCCGTTTAACGTTGGCTGTCGCAGGTGAGAACAGGCCTCAGCTAGTTTCGCCAGCAGGACTCAGGACTGGGCTTTGCGATATGAATGCAACATCAATCCTGCACCTGCTCCAAAGCTCTCGTTGCATGTTTGGCGCAGACAGCCCTGTAGGACATATAATCCAAGTCGGAGATCCTGTAACTTGACTTGGGCCGCAGCACGGGCAGGCGGCTTGGCCGCCGCATCATACCTGCTCCTCTGCTCGCGGTGCTGGGCCTTAGGAGACCAAACTTACAATGTTTGCCTCCTGAGCTTCTCACAAAAGTAGGAAGCTCGGCACGCTCCGGTCCCCTTTCCGCATGACGAACAAACAGTGACATCCCCGTGTGGTCTACAAGATAAACTTGGTGAGATTTTATTCCTAGACAAGGTCGCAATTAAGAGTTCAAGGCCGTGACCGCGAACATATTTTCCCAAATTTTGCTGGTGACACGGCCGGAGCGGTTTGCAGCACACCTGGTGATACCCAACAGGGTAGAGCCTCTGGACTCCCCAAGTGGGATATTCCTTCTATGTGCTGTATTGAGCCCTGACAAAGGGGTGGCAGTACCGGCACACGGATCGCGGCCAACTTCTTCGCGGCGCGGCTTGTCACTACTCGTGGAAAACAGTCTTTGTGGCTGCTCTGTCCTGGCGTTCTGGCAAATTGGTGGTAGCGTGTTTTCGTTCGCGTCCGGCTGCTGTTTGCTTTTGATCTGTAGCTTTGTCGGTGCTGTGTGGGCCAATGTGGTTTTCTTCCTGTAGGCCGGAGTCGTGCCCTGCTCAACCTCTCGCATGACACTACCTCACCGATGCCTGTGAGCCAAGGTTGTTACCGGAATTCAACAAATTTCGACATTAACACGTTTGGACAACTCGTGGGTTTTGGGGGATCCTCCACCGAACACCCTTTTTCGCGGGCCCTAGACTCACTGAAAGTCGTTTGGACTAATCTGCTCTTTATGCCCCGTGCACATGCATGAGCAGCCTCGGAGAACTTCCTCGGACCCCCAACCCGGAAGTGTCGGTATATGGCGCCGCGTAGTTCCGCAGAGGGATTCCGAAACCCGAAAATACGAAACCCCCTTTGCGAGGCCTTCGGCGTGCAGCCGAGGGGGGTCGTGGACCTCGAGGCGACCCTGCGGGCGAAGCAGACCTGGGTTCGGTAGTATGTATGCGTATATGGGTGGTTGTCAAAATTATGGTCCTTTTTTGGGTCCTTATTATAATACGGCATCTATTTATAGGGTACCCCAAACGGGACCATAATTTTGACAGCTGCCTATATATATATATATAATATAATCTCTATGTGCATGTCTGACATGCCTATATTTGTTACATATACAGACATGCATAATTTCTCAGGCAGAAATAGTGCTCTCAAAAATCGTGTGGCGATGAGGTTGCTGGGTGCTTCGCGGGCAGGCTTTATACTGGAACAAGGCTAAATGTTGCTAAATGGGGTCAAAATTATGCATGTGAGACCACTGGTGAAAGCATGGCCGAGCCGTTAGGGTTGAGTTTCTAGCGGTTAAGGACTTGGACCGTAGGTGGGCGGCATTTTCCGTAAAACGTAAATCATGTTTTCCCTCTCGCATGGCTAGGATCGATGCCTACAGGCGAAGTGACAATAGTGGTAAAAACATTTCATGCATCAAAGGCATCAACATTTGGTTGACGGCCTTTGTAATGCGCAACTATATCTGAGTGCGGGCTTGCACGGTGATCTCTGGACTCAAATGCCCTGCGGTAGCATGAGCGCTCAGTCTCGTGAGCTTGGATTGGAACACCACTCTGGATCAGACAGCACAGCAATCAAGCATGACAGATTTGGGCGCTTGTTAAGGGTTTCACATCCACCAGGGGTGGTTCCAAATCTGTTCATAAAAGCTGCTCGAGAGGCTCTTTCTTGAGGCCATACCCAAATGCCATGACCAACCGAGTGAACTGGCTGTGTCCAAGTCGCTTCGTCAGGCTATCGGCCAACATGTATATAGCAGCCGGGAAGACAGTGAATCAAGGCTCGAAGCACCTTTGCCGAAGTGGTCAAACCGCCACATCAATCTGAGCCCGACGATCCAGGCCGGCAGTTCTGCTCCGACGTTGGAAAAACGAGCGTCAGTCACCAGCACAATCTCATCGGAAGGATCGGGATGTCTTTACAGCCACGATCGACTCGTCCGTGCCATAACGGCTCAATACGGCTCATGTCCATCACCCTGGCCTTCGGGATGCAAATCTCGGCGAACATGGCTCGCAGCCATTCCAGCTCAGCCATCCCATCATCCATAACCAGGGCCTCCGATCCAAGCGAAGCCTCCAGAACCCGCACGAGCTCCAGTTCCAGATCCCGTGGTAGAAGAACACGGTACAGGTGTCGAGTCACAGGGGGGCTCATCGACATCTTGGTCGACTGTGTACTTCCTTGGTATCAACGAGGCCGAGGAGGGGACTGGAGCTCATCGGGGCTCCGCTGGAATCGTCCTTCTCGACGTGGACGATTTTCTTCAAGGGGGAAACAACCGACACGCAGGAGTCATGCAGCCCTTGCGCCAACGGCTGAACTTCGGCGGATGGCGCAGTGTGCAAAACCACTATGGCGAGTACTTAGGCCTCACTCACCATAAGACAGTTGCCGGACTTCGACATTCGTGTCGATATGGAGCGATACATCCTCGAGAAATTCTGACCCGTACAACTTGCCAGAAAACGTCTTCAAGACGGTGAGGAGTGCTACGCCTTCGATGATCAAGCACAGCAAGGCGGCGAACAAGGTGATCAACGAGCTGAGCGAATGCTGCTCAGCACCGGCATCAGCCACGCTAGGACTGTAACCGCTGACATCTTCGAGTGGGTCTAGGACTGGCACTTCTGGGGGTTCTGGAGGCTGTTCAGCACTGGCACGATCTCCTCCATCATCTTCAGATTTAGCATGGGGTCCGATAGACTCCACATCCACCTCTTGACGCACATAGCTTCTCAAAGTCATACTTCAACCTCATCTGGGTCTTGAAGAGCTCCTCCGGGATTGCCTCCAAACCGTTTTTGTCACCATCACTCAGCTGGAAGACCTGGCCCGCATTGCACTTCCATAGCTCGCCACGACGTGAGACCCATACAGTCTTGCCCCGTTGAAGAACCACGTATATAGCAAGGGCCCGCCTTCGCTGTCGAACCACGCCGCCCAGCTCGCCATACCAACACAGGTTCGCTCTCGGCAAACTCCAGCTTTTGCAATTCCTGCCGCGATTAGGCTAGCTTGGCACCACTCAGTCGACTTTTCGCATCCAACTCCATCCGAGCTTGACGGACCGCGCAGCACATATGATTCGCGTTCTCCCAGGCAGTTTCAGCATTGGGACAAACAGTATTCGTGGCCATCAGTGAGCAGGTCCAAGGTCAAGGACGGTTGCTTCCCAAACACCCGCTGAGTTGGACTGTAGCCCGATCGGTTGGTCAGCATCTGGATGGTCCGCGAGGTCTTGAAAATCAAAGCCTCCACCTCGTCCAGGTCTTGAGGTTGTCGTAGTTCACGTGTCCGGTAGA